CAGCAAGACTGTAAGGAAAAAAAAAAGCCCACACCTGCTATTAAAGACAAAAACAAATTTAAAAAGAGGGCATCAAACTGGCAAAACCCTCCGACGCTCTGCTTCCCTCTTCTGTGTGGAGGTGAGAACGTGCAGTGGAAGGAGACAGGACGAAGGGCAGTTCTAGGCTCAGACTTTTTATTTTGTTTCATTTTTAAAATCATCAAGTTCTTCCTTCTATGCGTATTCCATCAGTAACTCCTTATCTTCAGAAATGCTTGGAATGAAGCCACATTAAAAAAAAAAAGGTAGCAGTTGGTGCCTGCAAATCAGGCGATTTGCCAAAGGCCCACAGTTAAGAGACGTGATCAGCAAACCTCCTCCGGCTGACTCCTGACTATGTCGCGTTCCAGACCTGAAGTCCTCCACTGTAAAGGGGTCTTCCAGCAGAACATCCAAGGTGGGGTGGGCTGGCAACAACAGCTCCAGGAAGGAAGACTGGAGCCCTTCAGACACCAGGTCCAGACTACTCACACACCTTGGTCAAACTGAGCTTCCTGGGCTCAGCACCAGCCAGGGCTATTGGAAAAGCCTTATGATTCAGTAACAAAGAAAAAAAAAGAGTTGCGAGAAGACAGACTGGTTGAGGACTGCAGGCCAAGCGAATCTGGGCCTGGGGATTCAAAATGGAGCACAATTATTTTGCCCCTCGCCAAAAAACCAAGCTCCTGCTACCCGTTCCTCCGGGATAACTGTATTTCTCCTCCTTATGCAGCCCTCCATCCTCCACATACCCTTTCACAAGAAAAGTAACTACTACACAACTCTCTTCCTGCGTTGTTTCTCCTCTTTTGCTTTTAAAAAACACATATGACTGGCAATCAGGTCTTCCGCAGGACTCTGCCTTGTCCTTGTCCCGGAAAGGTTAAAGTGTGCACAGCAGCTAGTCGGGTCAGAGTGGAGAACTGCTCGGCACTGCGCTCCCTCCCCAGCCCAGCTGCTCCTTGTCAGTTTCCTTCCTCCACCCCTGGAGGCATTCCCATTCTGCGGAAGGGTTAAGAGCAGCTTGAGCCGGGACCACAGCATAGTGTGATCCTCCTTTCCCTGGAGTCACATTCTAATATTCCCATTCTGAAACCTGAAAGGAAAGACCAGCAGTTCTAAATGAAACCCACAAATCATCTCCTTTTTGATGGTCTTAGAAATAAACCAAAGCCATGAAGACTTTTTACGATTTTTTTCATACAAAGTAGTCCTTCTAAGTTAATATATGTAACAAATAATCAAGTATCTACCATGTTCCAGGAGTAGTTATAAAAGGAATGGCCAAAGGAGGTATTCTAGGAGATTTAGATTATAATGAACTATGCCCCTTATTAACTTGGTCACTTGTTTAATATCTGAGGATGAACAAATCAAATATTCATAATGGCAGCAGAAGGATCCAGATACTTATACAATAATCTTCCTTCCATTCTAGAATAAAAGGCTGGGGAAGGGGGTGGGAATTATTCTGTTCAGGGACAATGCTGTCCTAAGTAACTCACAAGGATGTGCGTGTGAACACCGGAACAGGATGGGAACTTTATAACAACCATTAAAGGCTACGACTTCAATCAACTAGTTTCAGGAAAAAGCAAAGAAGAATGCAGTCAAATGACATAATTGGATTTAGCCACTTTACCGGGGCTTTATCAACTCCATTAAGCGCCCCCAAAAGTATATGGAGCAACATTAGATGGGTGCAATCCCAAATAAACAGATCTTTAATTTGCAAACAGGATGTGGCTTAATAATAATAGGTCATTCGAGTATCTAGAGCATAGAATAATTCCATTCAGCAGGTTCAGCAGCCTGCAGCACACACCCTCCTGCTGGCAGAAGCACCTGCCAACTACAGAGACGGGGGCAAACACCAAACACCTGGACAGACCGCTGACCAATTAATGGACTACAATGAATGGACCGTGGAGGCCACTTCAGAATGGAGTTGAACCTTAACACTAGACTTGTTTTTAAGAAAACCAAAGAGTGAACTTCACTGAATTTCAGGCTCAGAACCACAAGTTGTGCTGCATTAAGAAAAACACTAACCCAAGGAAGTTACTTGGAGAAAGGAGATGGAGAGCTTTAGCTACGTTTTAACTTGCGTATGTTGTTTTCTTGACCAAAATCAGTCCCACAGAGAAACATACTATGGTCTGGGCTTTGTGGATGTTGCTTTTCTCCACAGATTCATCCTCGTTTTTGCAGCAAAAGGATTAAGGCTCAAGTCTTCTAAAAGCTTCTCCAGGAAATTGTGTTTTCAAGAGAAGACTCCGTAGGAGGAACAGAGAAGGAAGTTACTTGTCTTGTCTCTGGTCATGTTTATCCAAATCAGGTTCCGTTCTCTCTCAATGGATAAGAGCCATCAACTAACAGAGCAAATTCATTTACAGGAAGGCAATAAATTGAAAATACATTTTATTTAGTTTATCTGCCTCTAAATCTTTCATTAGGGAATTTATAGCACACCATTGTCACATAACCTCCCCATTTCTGTTTTCTTGATTAAACCACAGTCCTACAGCAATGGAAGTAAAGGCTTAATTTACAAGTATAGGGATTATCCTAATTTATATAATAGTAGTAAACATTCTAACTATCTTTTCGGCACTTTATAATACACTGTGTCTTTTGCTTCATATTTCCTCAATTGGACTGCAAAGCTTGGGCCCAGGTCACACACTTTTCTTGTAACCACCAGAGTGCCCAGCACTGGAAGAGGCACATACCAACCAATTAGATGACAGATCTAAGTCAGGCCCTAAATTTTCTATACCAAAATAAACATATTCTGAGCGCCAGTCTTATGCGAGGCATTCTATTATATGCCACGAAGAATTCAGAGAAGTATGTGGACGTCAGAGGAGGACTAAGAGCTTAATGCAGCTTACCAGTGAAGAACTACCTTGGATGCCATTTCTTTCCCTAAATCATCCGTCACACTCTAAGTGCCACCTGTTTAACTAAATACTCTTAATTCTATATATCAAATGAGAACATTTTTGAAAGCAATTTAAGCATACTTGAAACATGAGACAAAATGACGTTACCACATGGCCCACCCGTAAATACAGCTTCCCTCCACAAACACCTACACGGCATAACCAGAGATCTGGGTTCCAGGAGAGTTTCAAGAAAACTCTAAATTTTAAGCCCATAAAGTAGAACTTTTCTTTTATTGGCGTGGCTGACTCTCTATTCACGACTCTACTCATCAATTTGCTATGAAATAATAATCCTCCAACACATCTTTCAACAGCTGCCTCAAAGAAAATTGCCCACACCTGCTACTTCAGATGAAACCCATACCCAAAGCACTCCCGACTCTTCATTTCAATCCCACCCTCCCCCACCCCACCCCTCCCCTGCCCCCACCCTCATCACACACACCAGCCCAGCACTTTGAGCTCAATCATAGCCCCTTGTGTCTCTGCTCAAGCCTTCCTTCTTTCCTGGAATACCCTCCTTTCGGTCCTGGCCAGTTACATCCACCACCTCACTTTAAGTAGCTTGCTCAAAACTCGTTTCTTTATGGAAGTGTTCTATGTTTTCTCTCACAGTTTAAACATTTGCCTGATAAGCTACGTGTCAGATATTTTCATGTACTTCCTAGATAAATACAGTGTCTTACCAATGTTGGGTGTCAGCTCTGGACTCCTCTCCCCAGCCCTGGTCACAGCCTCGCTAGGACCCTGGACACTTGAACACGGTCAGAGGCATCACCTTAGATGTCCACTGGCCCAGTATTTTCAGTAACTTGCCATCCTGATTGAACGGTGGTCTTAGAGCAGACATTTTGGTCACATACAGAGCCCGAGGGCAGGATTCCAGATAAGCTCTGGCCCCAGAAGTGAAGCAGTGAATGGAGATGGGGGACTAATCCTCGGGGAGGCCGAGAAGACACCTGGAGAAAAGGGGCAAGCGGAAGCGGAGACTAGAGGGCTGGGCCAGACCAGAGGGTGGGGCAAGGGGTGTCTCCGGAGGTCTGGGGAGCGAGGCCGGGCACTCGGACTCACCCGCGGGGGAGGGGAAGCGCAAAGCCACGG